TTGGAACCTGCACACTGCCATCTCCTCAGGAGCTACCCCACACCACACGTGACCAGAGCAACAGTGACAGTGCACCAAGGACATCAAGGGGCGAGGACAACTCAAGAGAGGTAAAGAGAGACAGGCAAGGGGGGAAGGGAGTGACCCTAGATACACTTTTCCTCACTTGTTCATACAGCTAATGTGTCAGTCATTTCCCATATTTTCAGTGAATATGCTGAATAAGCCAGAGGGTGTTACCTATCCTCAAAAAAACTCACTGTCCAGGCGAGGAAGGCAACCAAACAAATGAGCGGAATGCCTCCAGACAGAGATGAGTGCTCTGAAGAAAGCACCAACGGTGAAAAGCCAATGTTAAGGCTGGTAGGGGGGATAAACTGATTTGGGTGTCAGGGAAACCCTCATTGTGGTGTCTAATTTGCACTTTGGCCAAAATGAAAACAACCAAGGATGGAGCAGTCTGGAAAGCCTTGTTCCTACTAGTAGGAACAACCAAAATAAGGCCCATGAACCAAGTCATGTGCTTAACATTAGGATAAAAAAAAAATGTTTTAAAGGCACAGTTCTGCCTTCTAGGGCCCTCAGAGTATATGCAGAGACTAACAGAGACCAATAAAGGGCCTAAATTTGGAAGGAGGTTCTTTACTGAAACCCAGCCTTAATTTTGCATATTAACTCAGACTATTTGTTCTTAACTCATCCAAGAAAACTAGCACAGTTCCATCACTATAAGTCTAGACGCAAGAGAGAGCAGAGATTCAGCCTCCGACTTGCTCCTCACCCAGGAAATAATTCACTTTTGCTAGTAGCTGTTTTATTTGTGGGTTGTCTGGCACGGCTTTCTCACTAGGCTGAATCACTGAGTGGCATTCTGATACCTAGTGAAGGTCTGACCCTGGGCTTCACTGGCCTGGTAGCCACCTTAGGTTCCCAGCCAATCACTACTGCCTCTTCCTTTTACTACTACTTGTTCTCAGACTTAATCACTGCAAGCCTCCCTTCACCAGGGGGCACGTGAATCAGACCCTGCCTGTTGTCTTCCCAGTCCCATGTGTTTTCTTGATTATCTTGTTCACAGGCTGGCTTTGGTGAGTGGACCTCGGTCTGAAAGCCAAGTCCAGGCCTCCTTCCATACTTCCTCACTTGGCTCTGAACCCTTTCTGGAAGAACCACACAATAAATCTTAGTGTTTGGTCATTTTTAAGTTACAAAATAAAGCCAGAGAAACACAGTAAGCAGTGAAAGGCATTTTGTTTTGTCTTCATTCGTCTGTGTAGAAAACCTGTCATCCCAAGGTGCTCATGACATTAAAAGGTGTGATCTTTAGTCTCCCAGGATGCACTCAGCCCATTTAGAAAGACAATTAAGCAACACTACAAAGGAGAAATGGATGGCAGAAATTAAACACCACTGGGGAAGGGGGGAGATGCAGAATTCACTGGGCCCTGTTGAGTCTTGGGAAATCTCAGTTGTATGAGGTCTAGTGAACTCGCTCTGGTTCTGTCACTTGCTACTGGTATGAATTCAGATAAATGCTGCTCTTTGGGCCTCGACTCGACTCCTTCATCTGTAAAATGGGAGATAATCAAGTGGATTTCAGAGAGTAGAAAGGATTAATTCTTACTATGTACTTGCCATAGTACCATACAGTGACTGGTCAGTAAGTTAACTTATTGACATGTGATCAACTTATTAACATCATCATTACTAGTGCCTCCTGCTAGCCCCACTTCAAAACTTCTTAGAGTTTTCTACCTTAATCAAGCAATGCTTTATTTTTTCTTCCTCTGTGAGAGGAAGGGTTATACTGGGTCATCAGGGAGCCATCTGAGCTAAACAAGCACTCTATCAATTGAGCCATTGTCCCCAGGCTCAAGTGAGGCTAATTCTTCATACCAATGCCTCAGTTTTATCATCTGTAAAGTGTGGCAATAATAACAACTACATAATAATTATTATAAGATTCACATACGATGTTAGGAGGTTGAGTGACAGGGGGGACGGTATATGAAGCACTTTATTATTCCCTAATACACGATAACTGCTCAACAAAAGTGGGATATTTAGTTACTCATTCTGTGTCATGTGATCTTACCATTCATAAAAAATTTGCATTCTGAACGTCAAGGGGAAGACAGAAAGAGCAGGAGATAAGAAACGCCTGCAACACTGTACAGATTGCCAATGGCATTGTTTCCCTGGATCTCCGCAAAGATCGTTAGAGATAATTGGATAAAATAAAACAAACTTTTAAAGTTTCTTTGGAGTAGAATTTGTTGCTGAAACATTTATTTTCTTTTGGGATTACAAGAGATCTCAAAGATGATATTGGTGAGACCAAAGCAGAATAAAAAGTAACTAGAGCAGAAAGTCCTCTGCTGGTCATGAAGGGTACTGCAGTCTTGCTGCAAGGCGGCTTGGGGGCCCTTCCATGTGAGCAGAGGGCTTCAGCCTCCCTACTTGTTGATCAGGGAGGATGGAAACCAGTTTCATATCACAATTAAAAAAAAACAAATCTCAGGACCATGAACCAACCACTAGATTGTTGCAACTTATAAATAGGTAATATGCAAATTCAGCAATTTTTCTATACACAAAAGAATGCTTCCTAAAATCTCTACATTCGACTTTCCAACACAGAACAAGGAAAAGCAAAGCATGCGTCTATGAATTTAGAGCTTCCACTCCCAAATGTGTACCCTCAACAAGGAAGCCCCTCCATGCTTGAGCATAGTACAATTAAAGAAGAATGAGGAAACACATTGAGGGCCGTGGGTGGCGCACACACAGGTTATCTGTTATGTCAGGTGCCAGTTCTGACCACGGACCATGGGCATGACCAATGTTTGTTATCACTCACACCCTGGTTCATCTAATCCCTAAGTTTTAGGGTTCCATCCACTGAGAGGACCACCCTCCTGAATGTCACAAAGACAGCTAGCCCTTTGTGGCTGACACATCACAGCAGGAGACTAGATAGACTTTTTCTGAAAGGTTGGTTTTTAACTAATCCTGAGGCAGAGAGAAACAGCCTCACCATACCCTCCTACTGCCATTTGTATTCAACCAACACCACTGCCTGGAGTGTCCATGTGAAAATGCAAACATTAGTAACCGAAAGAGACTACGGTGAGAGTGAAAAACACAGCAAAGCAGCCGATACACAAGAGCTTACTATTAGAAAGAAGTCCAAGGCCCTGGCACCTGCCAGATGCAGCCACGCTTTGGAAAGGCCAGGTCCCCCTGAGCTATGAGGCTATTGCCTTCCTGGGATGACATTTTGGCCACTCTAATTTCCTTGTTTCCCTTAGAATGTGAAAGTCACTGTCAATGCCAATTGGCTATTTATAACTTCAGATCCCTACGGTATTGACTACCTTCTTTTCTCTCTTTTGAGTGGTGGGGGTTAACCTGTATCTAAAACAATCCCCATAAACAGTGTCTCTGTTTTGTCCCTGGAGGTCTGCTGCCTGCAGCCAAGGATTAGGATCAGAGAAGTCATCTAGAGTACACTAAATTTTCTTGACTATAATGTTTTAGAGGTTTGCTTTTGTTTTTGCCTTTTTTCTATTGAAATAGTCTAAAATCAATGTGTATTTATAACTCCAGTGAAGTCCCTGAATAAAGTAGACGCCCAATCATTTCAGGTAGGGGGCAATTAGACAGTTTACCTTAATCTGAAGTCGTCCCTACAGAGTTCATTCATGTATCAATGACTAACCAGGAGTTCATTGGAGCCATGGAGTTAAGTCCCCAAAGACAAAGGGTCTTGGGATGTTTGCAGCCCTTGCATGGTTTCTTAAATCACATGTGTTTTTGAAAATGTCCTCACAATTCAGCTCTGTGTTGTCAGCAGTCCCTTCCCAAGACTTTCTGTCCTGTGGGTGTCATGTACACGGTCCACAAGGCTTCCAATATCAGAACACTAATGTGACCAAAACATCTGACACCAAAGCCAAGGTTAATTTCCCAGGAATCATCATAGAGGATGAAAATCGTGTCCTGTCACTTGTGGTCAATTCAGTTGACCAGTTCTGCAAACTTTATTAAAGAGGACACATAAAGTCAAAGAGAGATATGAAGGTTGCTTGCTCTCTTAAAAATTCCAGAGATGAAAATTTCCCATTACAACCATCGGGTGTGTAGCCTTCCTCTGAGTTGCATGGTTTTTATCAACACTGGAAATGGAGTTAGTGCTTCAACAGCAGTATAACAAGGGAGACAAGCTTGCCCCACTTAACACAAAATGTAGCCAAGATCCTCCTCCTCCCAGATCCGGCAATCCTCAACCCCAGAAATCATTCCTGACCCAACACAACACTAAATCGAGTCTTTGTTGGGCATCAAGTTTTGCATAGACTGTTTTGGAAAACCTAACAAACAGAACATCGTCCACTCATGTAAATGGCATTTTCCACAGACAAATCAGAGTCCGTGGTACCAGTGTCCAAAAGCCACGTTCAGAAAGAAGAACACATCTGCCTCTGCCCACCATCTCATGGAATCCAGACAACCCAGAAAATCCTTGGCAAAGCCAGGCTCAGGAAGAGGTTTTTCAGAGTCCAGCCTCTGGTGGCAACTCCCAGTGCCACGGATAGAGAAAGGGCATCCACACCAAGCCAGATTCCTGCTTTGGGACTCATTAACTTCAGAGAAGAGATCATCCATGCTGAGTCTCAGGCAAGTCCCAGGTCATCATAGCCGTCAGGCTCAGGAACAGGCAGTACCAGGACCACTGCCCTCAAAATAAGACAGCTATACCTCACCCTTAACAAACCCCTGAGTCAAAAAAGCCGTGTTTGGGAAACACGGGTCTCCCCTAGCATTACCCAGTGATGGCCATGTTCCTTGGTAGAGCAGCCAGCTCGTCCAGGAATTGTGCAGCGCAGGGAAGGAGATCGCTCCAGTAGCCCTGGCTAGCTCCAGTGAACACACCCGCACCCCTGCCCCTTTGCCCCAGCCCAAACAAATCATCATTTCGTAGAATGGCTGTTCCCTACCTGAGGGTGGCGCTCTCCCCCTGCCTGACCGTCACGTTGTCCATAGCTTTGGGAAAGGTGGCATCTCCGCTGCGCACCGGCACTCCTGTGGGTACAAGGAACAGCAGCCTGAGAGACACGACCACGAGGCACTTCCAGGGCAGGAACAGGTACCCACAGACCCCCATTCTCGACAACCACAACTTCCCAGAACTCCGGTAAAGGCACGCACACGCCCCCCGGGCGAGCACAGGAAGTGGGTGGGGTGGGGAGTGAGCGCGTGGACCCAGGGATGAACTAGCGGCGACCGCGCGATGCACTGGGAGGAGAGAAGCGCGCAGACTCCTCCAAGTCTAATATTCCTCCCCTAAATCCAGCCTCAGCTCGCCAGCCTCCAAGAGCCAGTTTCCACACACATCCGAGGCGGACTTTCTCCGTGCTCTCTGTGGCGAGGAAGGTAGCCAGGAAGGGGAAGCGCAAGGCAGGCGCACAGGTGAAGGGTCTCAGGAGCTGCCCCTTCTCTGTAGCAGTTCAGGCATGGCACTTTGGACAGGAGTAAGCACTTTGGTATCCAACCGGGCTGCAGCTGGGTTGCATCCAGCTACGCAGATGTAGTCTGCGATTCCTCAGTCGAACAAGGGGAAATCCAGCACTTTCTTAAGTTTCAGAGCTCGTCGCCAGAAACAATCTGGAACAATAGCAGATGGAAAGTAGACCACGCAAGAGGCGGCACGGATGGTGACAGTAGGCGACGGCTAAGCCGGCTTCGTGCAATCCGGACTCGGGAATCCTGCCGCAGAGCCTGGGTCAACTTCCTCAGAGCCTAGATTCGCGCCGCAGCTTGGGTTGTCTCTGCAGCGCAGCAGCAAGGCTGGAGCAGCGCGGCAGGGGCGGACCGCCGCGGTCCCTTGCCCGCTCTCTGGCTCGCTGCAGAAGGCGAAGCGAGTCGGCACCGGAGCCGCGGACGCCACGCTTAGCGGCCGCCCCCGGCCTCCGCACCGCCTTCCTCCCGGGAGCAGCCCCGACGCGCGCGGGCCCCGACCGCCGGGGTTGTCATGGCAGCAGCTCCATCCCTGACCGCCACTTTCTCTCGGTGCCGACTCCAAGCGATCCGGCTGGCGGGAGGCACCGACTGTGCGCTCATCCCGGCGGGTGCTGGGCGCGGGCGCCCACCTTAACCCCCGCCGCGCCGGTCCAGGCCAAGGCGGTGCACCACCTCTGGCCATCGGTTTAACCATTTCCGGACTTGAAGAGCAATCACTTCGCAATTAAGAAGATAAAGTTACTGTGAGGTCTTAATAAGCCTTAGACATCTTAATAAGGGTCACAAACTAACTAGCAAGAAAAGAGCCTGCAGCATGCATATATGCACCTTTAAAGTGGTCAAATTAATTCTATCAGCATTTAGAGTACATCTACAATGTTAGGAGGACGCTTTAAATAATCTCGTTTTTTATTTAATGTTACACTACACTCTGCACTGCATCCCCCCTCTTGAAACCCCATAGGCACAAAACAATCATTCTAAATAGAGATCTTCCATGTTTAAAAAAAAATGCGGAAATTCCAGAAGCATCTTGGTGGGTGAAATGAGCATTAAAATGTTGGTCAAGTTTAACACAGCCTTTCTCAATTCTCCTCAGACACTGAGTATGCTAGCTGGGGAATAGGTACACAGGCATGGGCCAATGTCAGCCACCTCCTGGTTTATAAGGAAGATTTTCAGGATTCTAAATTCACAGTCTGGCATACCTGATTTCATCTCCGAGAGGGGTGGCTTTCTTTAAATCTTTGAAGCCCAAAGAAAGGCTGGTTTTGCCCCAGGTGCTGTGCCTTCTCTCTGCTCCTCATTCCTCTGTGCCTACATCATGTTTCGCCCTCCACCAAAGCTCTGATGGACCTTGCCTAGTCCTTGTGCAGGGAAGAGGGTAGATCGTAGGAACAGTGAGGGCACCACCGATAGGCTCCCCTAGCAGGGACATCCAGTCCTGAGCTCCCAATACTGACTTAAGTCGTTTCTGGGAAAGGAAGGGAGAATACAGTGGTTTTGTTTGCTCTCCTAGACTTTTATAGAATACAATTGGGATACCATTTTAAAAGCAAACTATGAAATAACAGTGAAGAAGAAGAAAAAGAAGAAGAAGCTCTTGCCCAAGGCCATCTAACACCAGACACCAAAACATGACTAAAGAAAAATTATTAAGGACAGGGGTGCTGGTATCACTGGGCTATTAACCCTGTTGTGTAACACCGGCCATTTCAATGTGGATAGCATGTAAGGATCCACAAGTATCTTCTCCCACAATTTCCCCCTCACACTCCAACATTAGAGGGGAGGGTAGAGGTCAGCTTTGGGCCACAAAGGAAGATGAGCAAGCTTGTTCTTTTGTTTTTGTTTTTGTTTGTTTGTTTGTTTTGTTTTTTCCTTAGTAGTTGCCCAGATTCTTCTGGGCCATGAAGTATTGAACAACTTTACACTAGAGGTGTTAAATGCTTGGTCAATTCCCCACTGTCTCCTCTGGTGACTCTTTCAGATATTAAAGTCTCAGGGAACTCATCCACTATTTTTGATACCAGGGAACCTTTTGACATACTGTGCCAAAAAAAAAAAAAAAAAAAAAGCTGGCTATTGACTTATGATAAAAACAACTGACTTGTGTGTGTGTGTGTGTGTGTGTGTGTGTGTGTGTGTGAAGCTTATTCACTTTCCAAAGGGAAAATATGAAAATCAGAAAACTATTTCATTCAGTTGAGCTACTTGTAAGCACAAACAGCAGGCATGGGCTTCTCTTTGCTGTTTAACCAGCTGCTGAGTCTACGGTTCTTTCCATAAAGCCAGTGCCTAACTCCTAATAATCTACCAGATATCCCTCCTATGTTCCCATCACAACCCCTCTTCCAAAACTCCACACTCATGGAAACAAACACTAGGCATAAGGAAAGGAAAGGAACTCATTCTGGGCTTTGGAGCCACTTCCCCCAAGAACCAGGCCTGAAAGAATGCAGGGACTGATTCCTTTCATGACAAATTCTAATTCAGTCTCTTGCATCTAATTCCAGATAGGTACAAATGAGCATTAGGTTTTGCATCTAGAAATGGTGATAATGACAACAAACAGGCTGTCCCAAGGGACCTACATACATGATTAACTCTACAGGAAAAATACTTAGAAAACCATTTAAGATGGAAGAGGCTTTATTAATACATTTTTCCTGCTTCTGCTTCATTATTACGGCTAGACAGAAAAATAATCCTCACAGGCTCCTTAAGATATAGTCTATGCTGTCCTGAATGCACTTCATCTCAGACATGCAAACTATCATGGCCACAAGAAAGAGTGCTGACATGCAGCATCCCGACAGCTGTCCACAGAAAGCCCAGCAGAGCTCAGGTAACTTTCAGGAAGACAAAGAAAAGTCACTTACAACGTCTGCTTTGTGGGCCCAGGAATCCAAATTCTATTCACAAGTAAAAGTCAAGAAAGTGGCCAAAGGTCAGAGATGCCCACACAATTAACAAGACAGATAGGCTCTCTTCAAACCTGCTATTGAAGTGCTTTAAAAAAATGAAGATCAGAATCGCATGTCAATTGCCTTCCCATCCCCTAATCCCTAAATATAACTAGCACTTAGTGGCTTATCTTATATCCTGTCTCTGGCTTCATAAAAACTGCTGGATTTATTTTATTTTTCCCAGCATATCTGAGTTAATGAAAAAGGGATGACAGTCAGAGCAATTTTATTATTTGTGTTCTTTATAGAAACAACTTCCTCTCTGCCTCCTGGAAAGCAGACTCCTAACGAGTACCACCTCCATCTTCTCCCCCCCTCAATCCTCCTCCCCTTCCTCCCTTCTTTCTCACATACACATATACTGTACACATAAATCAACTTGTCACAGCTTGTCTCTGCACTGACAGCTGTAATTGCTTCAGGTTATAAAAATATCTTTAGGACAATACCTTTCAAGCTCTCTCTCTCTCTCTCTCTCTCTCTCTCTCTCTCTCTTTCTCTCTGTCTCTCTTTGTCTCTGTCTCTCCTTGTCTCTCTGTCTCTGTTTCTCTGTCTCTGTCTCTCTCTCTGTCTGTCTGTCTGTCTCTCTCTCTCTCTCTCTCACACACACACACACACACACACATGTACACATGCACACATGCACACTGAATGAAGCAGATAGGAGTGTATTGGTGGTTTCTACCTGATCTAGCACCTGTACACTGAACTAGGATTTGAACAGGGAGATAACCCTATAGATGGCTCTTGTTTAGTTTTAGTCTATGTTACCTACAGCAAGCAAGGATGAGCTAAAGAGATTATGGCTATTCCACCATGCAAAAGGAAGAGCAGGAGCTTAAGAAATGCCAGCTCTAGTTCTCTACAGAGGCGAAAGGCCCCCCTCTCCTGGTGGAGATTTCAAATGAAAGTACAGGCAAGATGAAAAATGCAGGGCAGTTGGTGAGTGGTGTGACATCAAACAGATATTGGAAGATTTAATCAGAAAGAGCAGTGTAAATCTGGACAAAGAGGTGCCTCCAGGGGTGTAGGGAAGGGCTGGGCTTTGGTAAAAAATGCATGTTCTTTTTTTTTTCCTTTTTTGCTTTTCTATGAATACAGGATCACAATAAAAATCACTGCTGATCCGACTATAGTCCAGTGTGTTAGGATTTCAGTGGGAAAAGCAACAGGGCAACATGAAGAAGGGATGATAGTGGCACCAAGAGAAAAGAGGTCAGAAATAGAGCAATCCGAGAAGAAGGAGATGAAGAAAAGGCAGGGGCCTGGCTGCCTGTCTATGGGCTTTGAAACCCACAGAACTTTATAAGAGATGCACAAAGCAGAGAGACTGTAGGGAAAAGCTATGAAGGGCAACTGAATGAGAAAAATCAAAGTGCCAAGAATACAAAGGGCAGGTATCCAGAGAGTGCATCCCAAGAGTCAGAGAGGTCAGGGCAAAATTGTCTCTTGTGTAAGATTTAGGTCATAGTAAAATCTCAGACCCAGAGAATCACAGAATGATGTTCCAGAAAGGATGTGGGAAGATGTGCAATTCATCCCCCTTATTTCAGAAAGGAAGGTTTGAGTCCCAGAAAGCCATAATAGGTGTAA